TAACGATAGTGTAATTTTTATCAAAACTTTTGAAAAACGAACAGTAGCGAGCCACCACACATGTAAAGCTCACTCACCTTCGTCGTGCCTTCGTGAATTGCAACAACTCGTTCGTTTCAGCCGAAAGACGTCCACTGCTGGACAAAGGCCTCCCCCAAGGATTTCCACAAAGACCGGTCCTGCGCCGCTCGCATCCAAGCGCCTCCCGTGACCTTCACCAGATCGTCGGTCCACCTAGTGGGAGGCCTGCCTACGCTACGTCTTCCGGCTCGTGGTCGCCACTCAAGAACTTTCCTGCCCCAGCGGCCGTCAGCTCTACGAGCTATGTGCCCTGCCCACTGCCACTTGATTTTAGCAATTTTGCACCAACTATATCAATAAAAAAAATTATATGTTCTAAGTTGTCGTGGCCTGAAATCCGTCTCAACGTAGCAAATTCTTGAACTGCGTGGGTTATTATTGCATGATCGATTCTCAAGATAGTTCACGTTATTTTAACGACATCTTAAAGTCCTTGTAATGAGCTTTTAAAGCTCAATTAAGATTTTATCATCCTCACAATAGTCTGGAAAGCTCCACTGTTTTGTGGAATTACTTCATTTCGTGATCTGATAAAAGATATTTGATTATGTGGTTTATTTATTGGGCAAGAATTTTGCCAAAAATAGTAACGATATTTAGATCTATAATCTAACGGTTTTAAAACAACAGTGTACCCGCGACATTGCTCGCAAGAATTTTTGATTGATTGTCTTCAAATGGAGATCACGTCTTCGCAGGAGTAGTATATGACACTCTCTTGCTTGATGGCAGTGACTAGATAAAAAAGTAGAGACTATCATAAGCTGAAAAAACTAATTTATTTACTCAAGTCCTACCACCTTAACTTCGAACTCTTCCTATGTTCTTCTGATTAATTTCGTTGCGGATCCAATGACAGTTTAACTTTTCTTTAAACTTGACCATCACTGGTTGGGTTTTATTTGCCGTCAAACTGTACATCCTGGCTACACAGCAGTTGCAGTGGTGGGAACAAAAGGTGGGAATAGTCCCGTTAGCGAATTTATAAAATTGCATTACAAAATTAACGTAGATAGTGACCAGCTCTTTTTCTGCAAATTAACGGTGTAATTAAAAATGGTAATTGAGTAGATAATGCATATGAAATGATATTTTGAAGCACCGTTATAAAGCAAAAAATTATTTACAACGATATCTCAATAATTTAATGCAACTTAAGTCTCAATTGAATTTAGTTATCAAAGCAGCCGAAATCGAAAGAACAGCCAAAATAACATGTTTAAGCAAATCCCATGCAAATGTAATGGGGGACAAACGGACAGAACTCGTAAAATCCTGTATGTTACAGTTCGTAAGCTTTTTATTATTAGATGGTTCAAAATGGAAATTTGAGTTTGGTCTATGATTGGCTCTTTCTTGGGTTGAAAAGAAAATCTTCATTTGCTATAGAATTACAAAAATCTTACTATTTTCGTATAATATAGAAGTTGAAACGCAATTTATAAGGTAGGGTAATTCCAGGATACATGCCCCAGTGGGATAGGTGCCGCGATTTTAAGTACACTATGTTACAAGCAACTTAGCCTAAAGTTATAGTACGTATAATAGAAAAGGACCTCCCCGTACCACTTGTCGCCTCGCAAACCATCAAAGAGTGCATTCGTTTAGCCAGTGAGAGCAAAAATCTTCCGCGGCCAGACCTTAGCAAGCGTCGAAATGATATTGGTAAGTATTTTTTAATGGATAATTTTTTTGGCAGCTGTAAAATGAAGCAGATTTTTATATAATTTGATAAACTATCTTATAAATTATACGGGATAGATATGTTTAATTCGATTTTTAGTGTTATTATATTTTTTATTAAAAACGGCACCTATCCTATGCTAAAAGGATAGTTGCCTAATTTTTTTTGGGTATAGATGCCCTTAGGGCCATGTCTCATGCACCTAGGGGCATCTATCCTAACCTGCTCTTTTTGTCACAGGTAGCAAGTAAGAAAAAAAAAAGAATGTAGTACGTCTACCCTTAGGAAAGTAATAAATAGGGTGCCCTTCTGATCGAATTACCTTTTTACCTGATTGCGCTAGAAGGAGTAGTATTATTTTTAATAAAAAATATGAAATTTCATTTTTAATTCATTTAATAACAAACATTCTTAAATAATGATACTTGGCTTGTTTGATTTCAAAATGCATTTGATCCTTAGAATTCAAAAACTGTATTAACGAGTCATCTATCCCTGCATCAGGCATCTATCCTTTGAAGCAATCATACAGTGAGTCTTCTATCCCCCACATTAGGCGTCTATCCCACTTTTTAGAGGTCACTTAAAATGGTATTTACTCAGAATCGGTATAACTTAAACTAAAATAATTATAGTAATATCATAGACGAAAGACCAAAGTTTACAGATACTAAGGTCAAATCGTTGATAAAAACTTACTGACTGAGTTACAGAGCTGTTTCAAAAAGTGGGGCATCTATCCTGGACTTACCCTAAGTGTAGCTACATAAAATTTCATAATAATCATCTTCAATATTTCAGCAACACCACTGATGAACATAGGGCTCCCCCAAATGATTTCCAGATAGGCTAGTTGGTATCGGTCTACATCCAGTGCCCTCCTGAAACTTTTAAAAAGTCATCTGTCCATCTTGTGGGTGGACGTCACGCTGCGTTTGCCGGTTTAAGGCCTCCATTCCAGAAACTTGCTGCCCCATCGGCCTTAAGTTCTGCGTGCTATGTGCCCTGCCTTTAGCTTGCTAAGCGTCTGGAATAGTCTGATATGTCAGCGACTATGAAAGTTTCATAATTATTGCAATAAGTATCTATATAAATTCTTAATAATTACTCCCATATTATCTGTTAAAAAAATTTGCTCCTTAGCATTAATTAACGAAAAGTTAATGTATTTATCTTAATTACAATACTGTATTAATATTTAGGTCATCCGTAAATGCGTTTAAAATTTACGCGATGGAATTTAATTATGAGATCAAAATTAATACTAATGGAGTATGCATTTAAATTAATGCGATTTTTTCTTGTAAAAAATAGCAGAGCTAAATCGGAACAGTCATTTAGCAAAGATTTTCTTTAAATAATGCAATTCTAGTTTGTAAAAAGTATTGAATAAATACGTATAGGTTGACCAAATGCTAGTGTAGTTCAACAGTAGAGTTCATTCATATGTCCGTTTTAGCCCAATGACGTCCACTGCTGGACAAAGGCCTCCTCTGAGGATTTTCATAACGACTGGTCCTGCGCTGCTTACATCCAGGTACTTCCCGCGACCTTCATCAGATCGTCGGTCCACCTAGTGGGGGGCCTGCTCACTACGTTTTCCACCTCGTGATCGCTACTCGAGAATTTTTCTGCGCCAGCTCTGCGAGCTATGTACCCCGCCCACTGCCACTTGATTTTAGAAATTCTGCGGGATATGGTCGGCCATTTTGGTTTTCCTGCGGATCGCCTTATTTCCGATTCGAAACTCCGAGCATAGCACGCTCATTAGAGTGTACTATTAAGTAGAGTAGTTGGTAAATAAAGATCGTGGCTAACAATCCAACTTCAAGTGGTTGATATTTCCACGTAAAACGGAGAGCTTCCCAAATATTTAAATATTTAACGAAGACATTGCAAAAAAGGTACTCTTAGAAGACATGGTGGCAAAAATATCTTCTTTTTAGCATTCCCACTTTAATTTTAACCGGGTGCAATCAAGAGCATAATTACTTTTGTTATTAAGTTGAACCGTTAAGTCGGGCTGCACATCACGTAGATGCTTGCTTATTGCTTACTGTGTAATTATGAATTTGCAGTTTTGCACTAATGAAGTAGACGTCTCAAATTATTCGTTTTTTTTATAGAAGACTCTTTACAAATTATTGCTTAATTAATAAGATTTATTTTTAGAATTTGGTACCTAGTTGACATCATTAGTCAATACCTAATTATAAAGACACAACTTCAAATTATGTTAGGATTGTGTTTAGTTGTTTAATAATCCAGCAGTATGACGTGAATCGAACTATTAGTTCACTAAACGACCTAGATATTTCAGGTTTTTCAGATTATTTATTATACTTACATAATTATTATGACTTACCGTCAAAAATGTTGATTCTTCACTGCTTCTCTTATCACCAGAACTGGTATCTGGATCATCCTGGGGTATTCCTAGTTCAATAAATGAAACTATCATCAAGCAAATAAGAGGTGGAATTGTGTAAAGCAATCGTAATCATTTGACAGTTCATAACGTACGATAAAGTCAGTTAAACAAAGCGTTTGACAGAATAATCGTACGTTATGAACTGTCAAATGATAACGATTGCTTTACACAATTCCACCTCAGTTCTAGATCACTGCCAATCGTTTGCTTTATACTCTAGAATAGATAGTTCATATTTTAAACGTAGAGACATATTAAATACAGCTTACCTATAGAGTAATCTTGGAAAGTACTGAAACTTTCTTGAGTGTATAACAAATAGCCTTGAGTCACAAACTTAGTACTGGACTATCAGATAGAGTTTATATACCGCTGTAGTTGTCTAACTCAATCTACGAACAGATCATATCTTACGAGCATTTAAGTTGATTCAAAGGTGAGTAACTGGGAATCGAACCCAGATCTAGGTTAGAGGCTAGACTCTTAGTCTAGAGAGTATAATTTTAGGTACTATTAATTAATTTCTAATTTATCAACATTATGTCGACTTTGCCCCAGGTGACAAGTTCATAAAATATGTTCATATCCTTCTCTACGAACAAACATCAAACATCAAACATCAAGAAACATAATAAAAATCTTGTATTACTTTTTCGTAAGTTCTTGTAATAATATAACCCTATTAAATTTTAGGAAAATAATATTTTTCTCATTTCTGAAATACAAATCGTTGTAAATATATCGAAAAACAATATCATTTTTACTCTTAATAGGGCACAAAGTAATAAAACAACGAATCTCTTTCAAAACATGTATTTTATTTCTCGCACAAAATCAAGGCATTCTAAACAGTACATTTTATTTTCATTTTATGAAATTGTAGTACACATTATTTTACATTTCATTAAAATGTTTATTATACCACATTAAAATGATTAAAAAATATGTCGTCAACATATAAAATATACACTCCAATCCAAACACAATTTTACAAACGCATATTATTTCTAAGATTAGGTACATAATATAAATGCTTTTTTGCCTTTGGCCAATCGCACCACAGTATATTGGACCTGATTTTGAGATTTTGTTGTCTCTAAAACTAAATAAATTAACTAAAATGACCAATGAGCAAAGATGCTTATGTACGAGTACCTCATCATCATCTCAGCCACAGGATGTCCACTGCTGAACATAGGCCTCCCCCAATGCTTTCCATGTTGGCAGCGGCCTGCGTCCAGCGCTTTCCCGCTACCTTTACGATGTCGTCGGTCCTGTCGTCATGTACGAGTCCCTATGCCTCTCCAATTCGTCTGGCCATCGTGGGGAGTGAAAGCTAAATCCTCCATTTGCCTCTGGTAGATTAGAGAGGGTCGTACTCCTCCAGTGGATACCAAATCACCTGATCATAATAATTCTAATTTCTGTCAAAAGACTACTGCTAGACAGTTGTCCAATGCCTTCCCCAAAGAATTCTACAACATTGTTTGAAATTAATAAACGAGTGATTCTAATTGTTATACAAAATGGCTCCTAGTATTGTCTGTGGATATATACTTTTGATATGAAGACTTAGACAGCAAAAAATCTCAAAATTAGGCCAAACATCGTTCACAGAAACGTTCAGGATCGGTCCAATCACCCACGTAAAAAACCTACGCCTACACAAAACTCTCTTTGCTCTTAAAGTCGTATACAAATATATTTTTGTTCTCTCTATCCTGCGCCGGCACACATACAAACCTGTTTCTCCCCTCCCCATTCTCGTTTACATCTAACGTTATAGAATACACATTATTGGTCTTAACATCTAAATTCAGTATTTGTATCTGCTTATTGTTCTGATCGACTTCTTCAGTTATTGCTTCATCGTTATTATCTAAATGATTATCATGTATTTCCACTTCAATGTTGTCGTTGACTTCGTTCATAGCTGCTATTATCTTCATGCTATTACGCCTTGTGTTCTGGACGTTGATGATTTCACTTACTTTTAACGGTTTGGCAGTAACGTCGATTTCTTTGATTCTTTTGCTTTCCCTATTGATAATATTCTTCTGGGACGATGTTCTATTACTGTAGCGTCTCCAGAAAGAATCTGAATGGTCTTTGCTACTCGAAAATCCAGTAGATGTGGTCGTATTGAAAGTGTCTCGCCTTTGCATGTTCTCCCTTAAATTCCTACTGCACCTCATCAACTTATTTATCTTAAGCAGCTTCACGAATCCTTCCCTGAATTTGGATGACATCAAATTGTACAGGATCGGATTGATAGCCGAGTTTAAATACAGCATAACCCTACAAAAATACAAAAGTATATAATAACCATCTATGCCTAATGACATTATTGTCTCAGGGGGGAATACGATAATCCACAGCGTTAACGCTTTGAACGGTAGTAGACATAGGAAGAATGATAGTACGACTGTTCCCAGCATTAGGATGACTTGTTTTCTGTATCTGATGACGTTGCCAGTGTTGCTGGTGTTTTTTGTGTTCTGGGCGATGATGGCCGGGTTTTCCATGAGGTTTTTTGCGATGACGCTGTAGAGGACTAGTAGAACGCCGAGGGGTACGATGAAGAAGACAGCGATGGTGAGGATGAAGAAGAGAGCAGACCAGAAGGTGTCTGCTTGGGTGAGGCAGACCGGGACTTCGGTGCCGTCGTCGTAGTGCTCGTAGGTGAATGTGGCCACGCCAAGGATGGGGCTGCAAAGAGAAAAGTTCGTGTTAGACAATTTGTCAGTATTTTTTTCATTTTCAAGAGATGCGTCACAAACAAATTTTATAAACCTTAAAATAATCGTTTGCTTCAGTTAGTAACCTACGAAATTTCGCTTGCCCGGTGACTGCTCCGACTACTGAGCTAAACAATAAATACTCAAACATTTCGACTAGTTTACCTAATGTCTCCGTAGATAATCAGCAATAGTTGACCAAACCTGCAATTTGATTGTTCATGTACAGCTAAGTTCTACAAATTTTGTAGCAACGTAAACCTTTCCAACCAGTGAAGATTGGGAAGTTTTTGGAGAAATTTTAACTGTTTTTCCAACCTGTAACATAAAAATAAAAGAAGAAGATTATGTTACTAGTGACTATAAGAATCGTACAAATATTCGAAGTACACGTCGGCTTTTACACATCCACACATTTCCTAGAACACAATGTTCAGTCCGTGTCACATTTAGCATCCAATTTCACGGTTGTTGGGACAAAAAATGTAATCTGGTTTTCTCGCCTCATGGAAATTATGTTCGTTGTATCTTCAAGCCCCTGCATATCCTCCTGTTATGGGCATGTGTATAATTTTATAGGCTGTAATATAATTGTGTTACAACGTTGCATGGGAATGGAGGATAATAGTCATACGCGTAGTCATTTGTTTTTGCAATTTGGATTTTTGAAGGTTTTTTCTTTAAGTTGCAATGTAACCCTAACCACTTTTTCGGACAATAATGTACATACTCAAATGTACTGAAACGGCGTAACAAACCCATTATTTTATCAACGTTGCCTTATTTTCCAAAAGTTTAACAATGCTTATTCTAAGTCCTTAAATGAGTCAAGCGAGCAATTTTTCCAAATATTTCTGTAGTTTAAATTCAAATCTTATTTCTATATTATCTAAACAGTTCTCAGAATGTAGGTTCAAAGCTATTGTTAATAGGTACCTGTCTATTTGTGTGCTATTTGTGAGGCCAAGCGAAATCAATCCTATTTGACACGGTAAATAACTATGTAGGTAGGTAAGTACAATACAAAGGGTGTTTGTTTTGTGAATTCCGTCTTAATAGTTTTGTGTCAGCAAAAGGGAGTTTTTCATTATTTTAATTATAACTTAGCCAGTTATATTTGGTTAAGAAACGGCTAATTGTTATTACCGTAATATAACTTCATAAAGAAACACAGTTCACAACTGTAGACGTCATGTATTACTTATACCATGCCATCACTTACTATTCTTTTCGACTCCCATGAACAAAGCCCCACTTTAGGGGGATTTTCGATTATAATTGCAGTATTAGCTTTCAAACGTGTAGGTTTGGACGTGACTGCCGATCTTTATGAGAGATGGAAAAAACAAGGCATGAGTCGAATATTAGCAATGTTCATTGTTTTATTTGGCCGATGGGGCAGCAAGGTTCTGGAATGGAGGCCGCGTACCGGAAAACGCAGCGTGGGACGTCCACCTACAAAGTGGACCGACGACATCGTAAAGGTAGCAGGGAAGCGCTGGACGCAGGCCGCTACCAATCGATCAACGTGGAAAGCATTAGGGGAGGCCTATGTTCAGCAGTGGACGTCCTATGGCTGAAATGATGATGATGATGATGATTGTTTTATTTATGGCTACACAGCAGTAGATTTAACAGGAGTGGATTCATCACAATAGACTAGCAATCGAGGATTGAAACGTCCAATTTTATTAAATTGGCAATAATTATCATCATCATCATTATCAGATCAGATCAAATCGTCTCTACTACAGAAGCATGACCCTCTTATTTGCCAAAGGGAAATAATATTGGGCTTATTCTCCTCACGATGTCCAGACGGGTTGGGGAGGCCTGATGCATATTTATTACTTATTTATACATAACAAATAATGATTGTGTTCCAAAGAGCACGTTAAGCGGTCTGATTGAAGCAAGCATCAGGTGCTTAGGGTGGCTCATAAAGCCTGACACTAGATATTCTGGCATCACACGTCAGAAGTAAAAAAGCATCAATGAATTTATTACCGCGCTGTAAGAATTAAAATTCCGCTTGTCTTATAAGAATGAACGGAACAAATCAGGATTTTACTCACTCATTGTTTTCAAGATTTACTCTCTGAAGAATGCTCTGTAAATACATTATGCTGAGCAAACAATTTGAACAAGAAAACATAAGTACCTTTATATGAGTAAGGAGCTAGTTTCAGATATGGATGTTTGATTTCACTTAAAATGAAGAGTTTGGGAGTAACCATTTAGAAATACTTAACAATTTTGAGTATCCTCCATCAATGCATATCCCTCCTACGGTGGGGACTAAATGAGCGGATGATGATGATGTTGATAATGAAAATAATATGAAAATTAGAAACAAATACAAACAGTAATTTTACTTTTTTTTGCCCCAACTGAAAATCGAACCTACAATCTCTGATCTCATATATTCAAACTAGCGGCCGCCCGCGACTTCGTACGCATGGATCCTGTTTTACCCCCTTAGGGGTGGAGTTTCGTAAAATCCTTTCTTAGCGGAAGCCTACGTCATAACATCTACCTGTATGTCAAATTTCAGCCCGATCCGTCTAGTGGTTTGGGCTGTGCGTTTGGGCTACATCACTATGTCAGTCAGTCAGTCACCTTTAAAACCGTACATGTATACAGGTATGTTTTGCTCTATTGTATAGTGTCAGTTACCCAGTGCCTTTTGTGGTATGACATCTTCATCTACTTTTTGCTCATAACGAATCCTTTATGGTGAGGCTAAAAGAAGAGCCACAAAAAACTTAACATGTATGTTACCATCAGCTTCTATTGCTAATATTTTTAAATGGGAATATAAGTAGGTATTTCGGTTTCTATTTGTTATGTTTTCTTAATTCAAATCCTCTTAATCATCTTTATTATCTTAATTATTATTACATGTTAATCATAATCATAAGTATTTAAGTATGTTTATATCCGTTGTCTCGTACCCATAGTACAAGCTTTGCTTAGTTAGTAAAATGTCCAAGGATATTTATTTATTTTTTATCCTGTCACAGACACAAGTGGTTACGAGTTAGATTTCCAGTACAATGAGAGAAAAATGTTGTCCTAAGATTGGTCTATTTATAAAAAAATATTAATCTTAATCGACGTCCAGGTGAATGTCGCGGTAATCACCTGGATACGGGCAGCCCAGGACTGGTCCCTGTGGAAATATTTGGGGCCGGCCTTTGTCCAGCAGTGGACATCATTTGGCTGAAACGAACACACCTATTTAAAGCCTTCGATTGAGTTAAATTACGGTTCAACCTTTATTGCCTTATGTGGTGATACGAGATCTATCTAATAGTGTACAAATAATGTTGTATGTTCATTCATTCCGTAACACTTTACCTAAATGATCATTTATCATGTTGTACATTTTTTCGTCAATTCAACAACGAATCTGTTCTGTTGATAGAAGTGTATCTCTAGCATCAAATAACGAAACAAATCCAAACTACCCTACACAATTCCCCCCAATAAGATAATAGTGATATCAGATTCTTTTGTTGTTTGGGGAAAATAAAGTTCTTCGCGACAAAACTATGCGGTTAGGAGAAAAAGTTATAGTGACTTGTATTCTTGAGGATTGCTTGATTTGTATTTTGACATAGATAATACAAATAAATACAGAAAAAATATTTCATTACAAAAGTACTTGAAACTACTCATAGAGAAAATCCTATAAATAATAATGAATGTAAAATGATCTACCTACTAAAAACACTGATTCTGAAGTTAGTGGAACCTACCTGAGACAACTTTAGTAAAGCTACGAGGTATTTCCGTGCTGGCATTATTCCAACACCACTACCATCTCAGAAAACAGCAAGATTTCTCAAAGCTTAAATCCCTTAAGTGATTTTTATAGATTTTGTGGCTTGGAATCATTGCTTCATCATCATCATCATCATTTCAGCCATAGGACGTGACACCCAACAAACAGTTAAAAAAAGAACTTTTAAACCACATTTAATCCAATTCTCATACATCTTCCAAAACCAGATGCAGGCTATGTTATCCGGATCTTATTCCTCACAGTGGGAAAGTCACAAATATGCGCATTTTTATAAGTTTTACAAGTTTCTTTTGTTTACGAGGCTGTTTAAAAGTCTTTTTGTAGGAAAAAGGAGGGTACGAATACGCAATGAAGTAGATAAGATGGTCGGGAAATACGTTATTTTGATTTCATTCATAACTTTGAAATAATGCGATTTTTTTAACAGCTTTACATTTTACAAGCGCAGCAATTATTAAAATCGTGATTTATTTTCTTTATGTGGTCAAAAAATAATGCAGTCACGTGCAAAAATATTCCAAGTTTCATTGGAATTTAAACCTACTTTTATTACAACGAAATAATTTACTAAGTATGTAAGTAGATAACTACATTTTAGTGCTCGTGACGGTACATCATCATCATCATCATCATCATCATTTCAGCCAAAGGCAGTCGACTGCTGGACGTAAGCCTCTCAGAACGCCCAAATCACAATCTCTTTTAATAATGCTCTTATAAGGTGCTCTCTTATAACATAGAGTAGCCATTTCATTTCCACATACCTACTTACATCAATAAAGCCATTTCTTTACACATACCTATTAATTATTTTTGATAGGTACTATCGGGGACTCGAACGCCTTGACACCTTAAGGGCCTAAATTGTTTGCACACACACAACTTGGTTATTTTTCCAGAAAATTTATATTTAGGTGCATAAATGTAAAAATGGCTTCATAGTGCACAAAATTGGCAATAGGTGGCATAATAATGGTTACTTTTTTAGCGCCTAGTTTGAAATGTGATTGAACGATGACAACTAACAACAGTTGTCAGTTAGGTAAAATTTTATTTTAGTTGGAAAAAGACAAAAAGTGGTAAATGGGTTAACGCGCGGGGGCTGCAAAATCATGTTGTGACGTCACGCGCGAATATTGGAAATTTTTGAAAATTTTAAAAAG